AGGACAGTATCGGTGTGATGGGGGCTGTGGGACAGGACGGGGTGCTGGCACCCCTGCACTCACAGCCTGCCTGCAGCGTGCCCCCCGGCTGGACCCATGCCGGCCGTGTGAGCCCCGGCCATGACGTGCAGCTGACTTTCGCCCTGCGGCAACGTGGCGTGGGGCACCTCGCCCAGCTCGTGGAGGCCATCTCAGATCCCCGCTCGCCACAATATGGTAACACCCCACACACCCGTGACCCACCAGGTCACGTCTGGCCCTGTGGACAGGGCACCCTGATCCTCTCTGTGCCTCGCAGGCAGGTACCTGCCCCTGGAGCAGCTGCGGGACCTTGTTCAGCCATCCACGGCCACACTCATGACAGTGCTGAAGTGGCTGCAAGGTCACGGGGGCGAGCGGTGCCAGAGCGTTGCCACCCTTGATTTCCTGGAGTGCCGCATGCCCACGCGGTGAGCCCTGCATGGGGCTGGGCCCCGCTGCCACCGTCCCCACAGAGACAGGGGCACCCAGACCTCCACATTCCGCGGGGGTGATGGGGGCTGACCTGCATTTCTGCCTGGGGTCAAAGGTGCCTGGCTGCCCGGCCCTGGAGCCGGGGGATCCGGAGCACTGGAAACCAGGCAGGCATGTCCGTGAGGTGCTTGGGCTGGCCCCACACCTCCTCTGGGCTTCCGAGGGACCACTGAGTCCCCATGGAGCTGGGGACAGAGCCCCAGGGGCTCCCACAGCACCGGAGCTCTGGCTGGGTTTGGTGGTGGGAACTGGTCCGGCCCGGGAGGTGCTCTTTGCTTTCCCCGATCGGGGTGCTGTGCCGGTGGAACACGGAGCCCAGCCCTGGCTCGTGCTGGTGGCAGGTGGGGTGTCAGGGCAGAAGGCTGGGGTGCTGTGGGGCCAGCACTGACGTCCTCGTGCGGCACCTGTCCCTGTGTTGCAGCACGGCCGAGAGTCTCCTGCCAGGGGCTGAGCTCCACCGCTACGTGAAGGGACAGGTCAGCGTCGTGCGCTCCCCGCACCCCTACGCTGTCCCTGAGGAGCTGGCTGAGCACCTTGACTTTGGTATGTTCTTCATGGGGCAGGTGAGGCTGCTCAGGGCTCTCGCTGCTGGAGGTGCAGGCGGGAGGCTGGTTGCTGAGCAGCCAGGACCAGCCCTCTCAGTGTCCCAGAGGACAGGGTGATAGGCTTCCAGCTACCACTCTGGCTGCCCCTTGGGTCCCTGCATAGCTTTGTGCTTAAGACGTAGATGGCCCATGCCTGGAACTGTTCCAGGTGAGGTTGCCCGGGGCTCTGAGCAACATCCTCCAGTTTGAGATGTCCCTGCTTAGTGCAGGGGGGCTGGACTAGATGGCCTTTGAAGGTCCGTTCCCACCCAAACCAGTCTGATGTGGACATGCACTGTCCAGAGTGTTTCTCCCTGGTGCTCTCAGGCTGGTTGCTCAGTGCAGAGCATTGAGGTGCCACCGATCTGTGGATGTGTGGCTACTGCTGAGGTGGAAAAGCTCCGTCCAGTAAGTCCCTTTTGTGTGGGCTTCCACAGCCCGTGCAGAAGCAGAGCAGAGGGTGCCACACTGAGATGGAGCCTGGCAGTGGGGAGACGGGGCTGGGAAACCCCAGTGCA